AATTTTCAACAAAATTTTCGAAATTTCACTTAATACATTTTCTTGCACATTTCGGGCCGCAGAAGCCATATCCGTTTTCATTTCTTCGATAACTCCAATGGTTTTCCCAGAATCGTCCTTTGAAATGTTCAAAAATATGCAAAATGACCTCAATTTTCAACCAATTTTCAACAAAATTTTCGAAATTTCACTTAATACATTTTCTTGCACATTTCGGGCCGCAGAAGCCATATCCGTTTTCATTTCTTCGATAACTCCAATGGTTTTCCCAGAATCGTCCTTTGAAATATTCAAAAAATGCAAAATGACCTCAATTTTCAACCAATTTTCAACAAAATTTTCGAAATTTCACTTAATACATTTTCTTGCACATTTCGGGCCGCAGAAGCCATATCCGTTTTCATTTCTTCGATAACTCCAATGGTTTTCCCAGAATCGTCCTTTGAAATGTTCAAAAATATGCAAAATGACCTCAATTTTCTACCAATTTTCAACAAAATTTTCGAAATTTCACTTAATACATTTTCTTGCACATTTCGGGCCGGAGAAGCCATATCCGTTTTCATTTCTTCGATAACTCCAATGGTTTTCCCAGAATCGTCGTTTGAAATGTTCAAAAATATGCAAAATATCCTCAATTTTCAACCAATTTTCAACAAAATTTTCGAAATTTCACTTAATACATTTTCTTGCACATTTCGGGCCGCAGAAGCCATATCCGTTTTCATTTCTTCGATAACTCCAATGGTTTTCCCAGAATCGTCCTTTGAAATGTTCAAAAATATGCAAAATGACCTCAATTTTCAACCAATTTTCAACAAAATTTTCGAAATTTCACTTAATACATCTTCTTGCACATTTCGGGCCGCAGAAGCCATATCCGTTTTCATTTCTTCGATAACTCCAATGGTTTTCCCAGAATCGTCCTTTGAAATTGTAAGGAATGCGGTAGTGTCGAAAACACAAACGAAATGTTGCAATGTTAACAAACTGCCAACTTCCGTACATCCCTTTGGCGAAATCAGGTGGCATAATATTTAGGTTAATGAAATAGTAGAGTTAGCAATATTTAGTTTATTTAAGGCGTGTGTATGAATTGGGAGTAAGGAGAAGCAGAAGTAGAGTGATAGAAGTAGTTATTGTTAGTGTAGTAAAGAACAGTGAAATAAAGATGTGAAAGTGAGTTGTTAGTATGTTTCCACCCTGGTAACCACCCATCAGGGGATTCATGGTAAACAGTGGTTATCACAAAATATTCAAAAATATGCAAAATGACCTCAATTTTCAACCAATTTTCAACAAAATTTTCGAAATTTCACTTAATACATTTTCTTGCACATTTCGGGCCGCAGAAGCCATATCCGTTTTCATTTCTTCGATAACTCCAATGGTTTTCCCAGAATCGTCCTTTGAAATGTTCAAAAATATGCAAAATGACCTCAATTTTCAACAAAATTTTCGAAATTTCACTTAATACATTTTCTTGTAGATTTTGGGCCGCAGAAATCAAATCCGCTTTCACTTCTTCGATAACTACCTTGGTTTACCGAGAATCGTCCTTTGAAGTACATAGTCATAGTTACTCCCACCGAATAATCATAGTTACTCCCACCGAAGAATCATAGTTACTCCCACCGAAGAATCATAGTTACTCCCCTCCAAAATTCTCTTTATCCTTTTTGCCCTTCTCTTCATTTTTCTTTCTTTTGCGTTCTTTTTCGTCCTTTTTCGTCCTTCTTCGTCCTTTTTCGCCGTTTTATGTCCTTTTTCGACTTTTTTCGTCCTCTTTCGTCCATTTTCGTCCTTTTTCGTTCTTAGTATCCTTTTTCGTCCTTTTTCGCCACATTAGTCATATCCGTTTTCATTTCTTCGATAACTTCAAAGGTTTTCCCAGAATCGTCCTTTGAAATATTCAAAAATATGCAAAATGACCTCAATTTTCAACCAATTTTCAACAAAATTTTCGAAATTTCACTTAATACATCTTCTTGCACATTTCGGGCCGCAGAAGCCATATCCGTTTTCATTTCTTCGATAACTCCAATGGTTTTCCCAGAATCGTCCTTTGAAATGTTCAAAAATATGCAAAATGACCTCAATTTTCAACCAATTTTCAACAAAATTTTCGAAATTTCATTTAATACATTTTCTTGCACATTTCGGGCCGCAGAAGCCATATCCGTTTTCATTTCTTCGATAACTCCAATGGTTTTCCCAGAATCGTCCTTTGAAATGTTCCAAAATATGCAAAATGACCTCAATTTTCAACCAATTTTCAACAAAATTTTCGAAATTTCACTTAATACATTTTCTTGCACATTTCGGGCCGCAGAAGCCATATCCGTTTTCATTTCTTCGATAACTCCAATGGTTTTCCCAGAATCGTCCTTTGAAAAGTTCAAAAATATGCAAAATGACCTCAATTTTCAACAAAATTTTCGAAATTTCACTTAATACATTTTCTTGTAGATTTTGGGCCGCAGAAATCAAATCCGCTTTCACTTCTTCGATAACTACCTTGGTTTACCGAGAATCGTCCTTTGAAGTACATAGTCATAGTTACTCCCACCGAATAATCATAGTTACTCCCACCGAAGAATCATAGTTACTCCCACCGAAGAATCATAGTTACTCCCCTCCAAAATTCTCTTTACCCTTTTTGCCCTTCTCTTCATTTTTCTGTCTTTTGCGTTCTTTTTCGTCCTTTTTCGTCCTTCTTCGTCCTTTTTCGCCGTTTTATGTCCTTTTTCGACTTTTTTCGTCCTCTTTCGTCCATCTTCGTCCTTTTTCGTTCTTAGTATCCTTTTTCGTCCTTTTTCGCCACATTAGTCATATCCGTCTTCATTTCTTCGATAACTTCAATGGTTTTCCCAGAATCGTCCTTTGAAATATTCAAAAATATGCAAAATGACCTCAATTTTCAACCAATTTTCAACAAAATTTTCGAAATTTCACTTAATACATCTTCTTGCACATTTCGGGCCGCAGAAGCCATATCCGTTTTCATTTCTTCGATAACTCCAATGGTTTTCCCAGAATCGTCCTTTGAAATGTTCAAAAATATGCAAAATGACCTCAATTTTCAACCAATTTTCAACAAAATTTTCGAAATTTCACTTAATACATTTTCTTGCACATTTCGGGCCGCAGAAGCCATATCCGTTTTCATTTCTTCGATAACTCCAATGGTTTTCCCAGAATCGTCCTTTGAAATGTTCAATAATATGCAAAATGACCTCAATTTTCAACCAATTTTCAACAAAATTTTCGAAATTTCACTTAATACATTTTCTTGCACATTTCGGGCGCAGAAGCCATATCCGTTTTCATTTCTTCGATAACTCCAATGGTTTTCCCAGAATCGTCCTTTGAAATGTTTAAAAATATGCAAAATGACCTCAATTTTCAACCAATTTTCAACAAAATTTTCGAAATTTCACTTAATACATTTTCTTGCACATTTCGGGCCGCAGAAGCCATATCCGTTTTCATTTCTTCGATAACTCCAATGGTTTTCCCAGCATCGTCCTTTGAAATATTCAAAAATATGCAAAATGACCTCAATTTTCAACCAATTTTCAACAAAATTTTCGAAATTTCACTTAATACATTTTCTTGCACATTTCGGGCCGCAGAAGCCATATCCGTTTTCATTTCTTCGATAACTCCAATTGTTTTCCCAGAATCGTCCTTTGAAATGTTCAAAAATATGCAAGATGACCTCAATTTTCAACCAATTTTCAACAAAATTTTCGAAATTTCACTTAATACATTTTCTTGCATATTTCGGGCCGCAGAATCCATATCCGTTTTCATTTCTTCGATAACTCCAATTGTTTTCCCAGAATCGTCCTTTGAAATATTCAAAAATATGCAAAATGACCTCAATTTTCAACCAATTTTCAACAAAATTTTCGAAATTTCACTTAATACATTTTCTTGCACATTTCGGGCGGCAGAAGCCATATCCGTTTTCATTTCTTCGATAACTCCAATGGTTTTCCCAGAATCGTCCTTTGAAATGTTCAAAAATATGCAAAATGACCTCAATTTTCAACCAATTTTCAACAAAATTTTCGAAATTTCACTTAATACATTTTCTTGCACATTTCGGGCCGCAGAAGCCATATCCGTTTTCATTTCTTCGATAACTCCAATGGTTTTCCCAGCATCGTCCTTTGAAATATTCAAAAATATGCAAAATGACCTCAATTTTCAACCAATTTTCAACAAAATTTTCGAAATTTCACTTAATACATTTTCTTGCACATTTCGGGCCGCAGAAGCCATATCCGTTTTCATTTCTTCGATAACTCCAATGGTTTTCACAGAATCGTCCTTTGAAATGTTCAAAAATATGCAAAATGACCTCAATTTTCAACCAATTTTCAACAAAATTTTCGAAATTTCACTTAATACATTTTCTTGCACATTTCGGGCCGCAGAAGCCATATCCGTTTTCATTTCTTCGATAACTCCAATGGTTTTCCCAGAATCGTCCTTTGAAATGTGCAAAAATATGCAAAATGACCTCAATTTTCAACCAATTTTCAACAAAATTTTCGAAATTTCACTTAATACATTTTCTTGCACATTTCGGGCCGCAGAAGCCATATCCGTTTTCATTTCTTCGATAACTCCAATGGTTTTCCCAGAATCGTCCTTTGAAATGTTCAAAAATATGCAAAATGACCTCAATTTTCAACCAATTTTTAACAAAATTTTCGAAATTTCACTTAATACATTTTCTTGCACATTTCGGGCCGCAGAAGCCATATCCGTTTTCATTTCTTCGATAACTCCAATGGTTTTCCCAGAATCGTCCTTTGAAATGTTCAAAAATATGCAAAATGACCTCAATTTTCAACCAATTTTCAACAAAATTTTCGAAATTTCACTTAATACATTTTCTTGCACATTTCGGGCCGCAGAAGCCATACCCGTTTTCATTTCTTCGATAACTCCAATGGTTTTCCCAGAATCGTCCTTTGAAATTGTAAGGAATGCGGTAGTGTCGAAAACACAAACGAAATGTTGCAATGTTAACAAACTGCCAACTTCCGTACATCCCTCTGGCGAAATCAGGTGGCATAATATTTAGGTTAATGAAATAGTAGAGTTAGCAATATTTAGTTTATTTAAGGCGTGTGTATGAATTGGGAGTAAGGAGAAGCAGAAGTAGAGTGATAGAAGTAGTTATTGTTAGTGTAGTAAAGAACAGTGAAATAAAGATGTGAAAGTGAGTTGTTAGTATGTTTCCACCCTGGTAACCACCCATCAGGGGATTCATGGTAAACAGTGGTTATCACAAAATATTCAAAAATATGCAAAATGACCTCAATTTTCAACCAATTTTCAACAAAATTTTCGAAATTTCACTTAATACATTTTCTTGCACATTTCGGGCCGCAGAAGCCATATCCGTTTTCATTTCTTCGATAACTCCAATGGTTTTCCCAGAATCGTCCTTTGAAATGTTCAAAAATATGCAAAATGACCTCAATTTTCAACCAATTTTCAACAAAATTTTCGAAATTTCTCTTAATACATTTTCTTGCATATTTCGGGCCGCAGAATCCATATCCGTTTTCATTTCTACGATAACTCCAATTGTTTTCCCAGAATCGTCCTTTGAAATGTTCAAAAATATGCAAAATGACCTCAATTTTCAACCAATTTTCAACAAAATTTTCGAAATTTCACTTAATACATTTTCTTGCAGATTTCGGGCCGCAGAAGCCATATCCGTTGTCATTTCTTCGATAACTCCAATGGTTTTCCCAGAATCGTCCTTTGAAATATTCAAAAATATGCAAAATGACCTCAATTTTCAACCAATTTTCAACAAAATTTTCGAAATTTCACTTAATACATTTTCTTGCACATTTCGGGCGGCAGAAGCCATATCCGTTTTCATTTCTTCGATAACTCCAATGGTTTTCCCAGAATCGTCCTTTGAAATGTTCAAAAATATGCAAAATGACCTCAATTTTCAACCAATTTTCAACAAAATTTTCGAAATTTCACTTAATACATTTTCTTGCACATTTCGGGCCGCAGAAGCCATATCCGTTTTCATTTCTTCGATAACTCCAATGGTTTTCCCAGCATCGTCCTTTGAAATATTCAAAAATATGCAAAATGACCTCAATTTTCAACCAATTTTCAACAAAATTTTCGAAATTTCACTTAATACATTTTCTTGCACATTTCGGGCCGCAGAAGCCATATCCGTTTTCATTTCTTCGATAACTCCAATTGTTTTCCCAGAATCGTCCTTTGAAATGTTCAAAAATATGCAAAATGACCTCAATTTTCAACCAATTTTCAACAAAATTTTCGAAATTTCACTTAATACATTTTCTTGCACATTTCGGGCCGCAGAATCCATATCCGTTGTCATTTCTTCGATAACTCCAATGGTTTTCCCAGAATCGTCCTTTGAAATATTCAAAAATATGCAAAATGACCTCAATTTTCAACCAATTTTCAACAAAATTTTCGAAATTTCACTTAATACATTTTCTTGCACATTTCGGGCGGCAGAAGCCATATCCGTTTTCATTTCTTCGATAACTCCAATGGTTTTCCCAGAATCGTCCTTTGAAATGTTCAAAAATATGCAAAATGACCTCAATTTTCAACCAATTTTCAACAAAATTTTCGAAATTTCACTTAACACATTTTCTTGCACATTTCGGGCCGCAGAAGCCATATCCGTTTTCATTTCTTCGATAACTCCAATGGTTTTCCCAGCATCGTCCTTTGAAATATTCAAAAATATGCAAAATGACCTCAATTTTCAACCAATTTTCAACAAAATTTTCGAAATTTCACTTAATACATTTTCTTGCACATTTCGGGCCGCAGAAGCCATATCCGTTTTCATTTCTTCGATAACTCCAATGGTTTTCACAGAATCGTCCTTTGAAATGTTCAAAAATATGCAAAATGACCTCAATTTTCAACCAATTTTCAACAAAATTTTCGAAATTTCACTTAATACATTTTCTTGCACATTTCGGGCCGCAGAAGCCATATCCGTTTTCATTTCTTCGATAACTCCAATGGTTTTCCCAGAATCGTCCTTTGAAATGTGCAAAAATATGCAAAATGACCTCAATTTTCAACCAATTTTCAACAAAATTTTCGAAATTTCACTTAATACATTTTCTTGCACATTTCGGGCCGCAGAAGCCATATCCGTTTTCATTTCTTCGATAACTCCAATGGTTTTCCCAGAATCGTCCTTTGAAATGTTCAAAAATATGCAAAATGACCTCAATTTTCAACCAATTTTTAACAAAATTTTCGAAATTTCACTTAATACATTTTCTTGCACAATTCGGGCCGCAGAAGCCATATCCGTTTTCATTTCTTCGATAACTCCAATGGTTTTCCCAGAATCGTCCTTTGAAATGTTCAAAAATATGCAAAATGACCTCAATTTTCAACCAATTTTCAACAAAATTTTCGAAATTTCACTTAATACATTTTCTTGCACATTTCGGGCCGCAGAAGCCATATCCGTTTTCATTTCTTCGATAACTCCAATGGTTTTCCCAGAATCGTCCTTTGAAATTGTAAGGAATGCGGTAGTGTCGAAAACACAAACGAAATGTTGCAATGTTAACAAACTGCCAACTTCCGTACATCCCTCTGGCGAAATCAGGTGGCATAATATTTAGGTTAATGAAATAGTAGAGTTAGCAATATTTAGTTTATTTAAGGCGTGTGTATGAATTGGGAGTAAGGAGAAGCAGAAGTAGAGTGATAGAAGTAGTTATTGTTAGTGTAGTAAAGAACAGTGAAATAAAGATGTGAAAGTGAGTTGTTAGTATGTTTCCACCCTGGTAACCACCCATCAGGGGATTCATGGTAAACAGTGGTTATCACAAAATATTCAAAAATATGCAAAATGACCTCAATTTTCAACCAATTTTCAACAAAATTTTCGAAATTTCACTTAATACATTTTCTTGCACATTTCGGGCCGCAGAAGCCATATCCGTTTTCATTTCTTCGATAACTCCAATGGTTTTCCCAGAATCGTCCTTTGAAATGTGCAAAAATATGCAAAATGACCTCAATTTTCAACCAATTTTCAACAAAATTTTCGAAATTTCACTTAATACATTTTCTTGCACATTTCGGGCCGCAGAAGCCATATCCGTTTTCATTTCTTCGATAACTCCAATGGTTTTCCCAGAATCGTCCTTTGAAATGTTCAAAAATATGCAAAATGACCTCAATTTTCAACCAATTTTCAACAAAATTTTCGAAATTTCACTTAATACATTTTCTTGCACATTTCGGGCCGCAGAAGCCATATCCGTTTTCATTTCTTCGATAACTCCAATGGTTTTCCCAGAATCGTACTTTGAAATGTTCAAAAATATGCAAAATGACCTCAATTTTCAACCAATTTTCAACAAAATTTTCGAAATTTCACTTAATACATTTTCTTGCACAATTCGGGCCGCAGAAGCCATATCCGTTTTCATTTCTTCGATAACTCTAATGGTTTTCCCAGAATCGTCCTTTGAAATGTTCAAAAATATGCAAACTGACCTCAATTTTCAACCAATTTTCAACAAAATTTTCGAAATTTCACTTAATACATTTTCTTGCACATTTCGGGCCGCAGAAGCCATATCCGTTTTCATTTCTTCGTTAACTCCAATGGTTTTCCCAGAATCGTCCTTTGAAATATTCAAAAATATGCAAAATGACCTCAATTTTCAACCAATTTTCAACAAAATTTTCGAAATTTCACTTAATACATTTTCTTGCACATTTCGGGCCGCAGAAGCCATATCCGTTTTCATTTCTTCGATAACTCCAATGGTTTTCCCAGAATCGTCCTTTGAAATGTTCAAAAATATGCCAAATGACCTCAATTTTCAACCAATTTTCAACAAAATTTTCGAAATTTCACTTAATACATTTTCTTGCACATTTCGGGCCGCAGAAGCCATATCCGTTTTCATTTCTTCGATAACTCCAATGGTTTTCCCAGAATCGTCCTTTGAAATGTTCAAAAATATGCAAAATGACCTCAATTTTCAACCAATTTTCAACAAAATTTTCGAAATTTCACTTAATACATTTTCTTGCACATTTCGGGCCGCAGAAGCCATATCCGTTTTCATTTCTTCGATAACTCCAATGGTTTTCCCAGAATCGTCCTTTGAAATATTAAAAAATATGCAAAATGACCTCAATTTTCAACCAATTTTCAACAAAATTTTCGAAATTTCACTTAATACATTTTCTTGCACATTTCGGGCCGCAGAAGCCATATCCGTTTTCATTTCTTCGATAACTTCAATGGTTTTCCCAGAATCGTCTTTGAAATATTCAAAAATATGCAAAATGACCTCAATTTTCAACCAATTTTCAACAAAATTTTCGAAATTTCACTTAATACATTTTCTTGCACATTTCGGGCCGCAGAGGCCATATCCGTTTTCATTTCTTCGATAACTCCAATGGTTTTCCCAGAATCGTCCTTTGAAATGTTCAAAAATATGCAAAATGACCTCAATTTTCAACCAATTTTCAACAAAATTTTCGAAATTTCACTTAATACATTTTCTTGCACATTTCGGGCCGCAGAAGCCATATCCGTTTTCATTTCTTCGATAACTCCAATGGTTTTCCCAGAATCGTCCTTTGAAAAGTTCAAAAATATGCAAAATGACCTCAATTTTCAACAAAATTTTCGAAATTTCACTTAATACATTTTCTTGTAGATTTTGGGCCGCAGAAATCAAATCCGCTTTCACTTCTTCGATAACTACCTTGGTTTACCGAGAATCGTCCTTTGAAGTACATAGTCATAGTTACTCCCACCGAATAATCATAGTTACTCCCACCGAAGAATCATAGTTACTCCCACCGAAGAATCATAGTTACTCCCCTCCAAAATTCTCTTTACCCTTTTTGCCCTTCTCTTCATTTTTCTTTCTTTTGCGTTCTTTCTCGTCCTTTTTCGTCCTTCTTCGTCCTTTTTCGCCGTTTTATGTCCTTTTTCGACTTTTTTCGTCCTCTTTCGTCCATCTTCGTCCTTTTTCGTTCTTAGTATCTTTTTCGTCCTTTTTCGCCACATTAGTCATATCCGTTTTCATTTCTTCGATAACTTCAATGGTTTTCCCAGAATCGTCCTTTGAAATATTCAAAAATATGCAAAATGACCTCAATTTTCAACCAATTTTCAACAAAATTTTCGAAATTTCACTTAATACATCTTCTTGCACATTTCGGGCCGCAGAAGCCATATCCGTTTTCATTTCTTCGATAACTCCAATGGTTTTCCCAGAATCGTCCTTTGAAATGTTCAAAAATATGCAAAATGACCTCAATTTTCAACCAATTTTCAACAAAATTTTCGAAATTTCACTTAATACATTTTCTTGCACATTTCGGGCCGCAGAAGCCATATCCGTTTTCATTTCTTCGATAACTCCAATGGTTTTCCCAGAATCGTTCTTTGAAAAGTTCAAAAATATGCAAAATGACCTCAATTTTCAACAAAATTTTCGAAATTTCACTTAATACATTTTCTTGTAGATTTTGGGCCGCAGAAATCAAATCCGCTTTCACTTCTTCGATAACTACTTTGGTTTACCGAGAATCGTCCATTGAAGTACATAGTCATAGTCACTCCCACCGAATAATCATAGTTACTCCCACCGAAGAATCATAGTTACTCCCACCGAAGAATCATAGTTACTCCCCTCCAAAATTCTCTTTACCCTTTTTGCCCTTCTCTTCATTTTTCTTTCTTTTGCGTTCTTTTTCGTCCTTTTTCGTCCTTCTTCGTCCTTTTTCGCCGTTTTATGTCCTTTTTCGACTTTTTTCGTCCTCTTTCGTCCATCTTCGTCCTTTTTCGTTCTTAGTATCCTTTTTCGTCCTTTTTCGCCACATTAGTCATATCCGTTTTCATTTCTTCGATAACTTCAATGGTTTTCCCAGAATCGTCCTTTGAAATATTCAAAAATATGCAAAATGACCTCAATTTTCAACCAATTTTCAACAAAATTTTCGAAATTTCACTTAATACATCTTCTTGCACATTTCGGGCCGCAGAAGCCATATCCGTTTTCATTTCTTCGATAACTCCAATGGTTTTCCCAGAATCGTAATTTGAAATGTTCAAAAATATGCAAAATGACCTCAATTTTCAACCAATTTTCAACAAAATTTTCGAAATTTCATTTAATACATTTTCTTGCACATTTCGGGCCGCAGAAGCCATATCCGTTTTCATTTCTTCGATAACTCCAATGGTTTTCCCAGAATCGTCCTTTGAAATGTTCAAAAATATGCAAAATGACCTCAATTTTCAACCAATTTTCAACAAAATTTTCGAAATTTCACTTAATACATTTTCTTGCACATTTCGGGCCGCAGAAGCCATATCCGTTTTCATTTCTTCGATAACTCCAATGGTTTTCCCAGAATCGTCCTTTGAAATGTTCAAAAATATGCAAAATGACCTCAATTTTCAACCAATTTTCAACAAAATTTTCGAAATTTCACTTAATACATTTTCTTGCATATTTCGGGCCGCAGAAGCCATATCCGTTTTCATTTCTTCGATAACTCCAATGGTTTTCCCAGAATCGTCCTTTGAAATGTTCAAAAATATGCAAAATGACCTCAATTTTCAACCAATTTTCAACAAAATTTTCGAAATTTCACTTAATACATTTTCTTGCACATTTCGAGCCGCAGAAGCCATATCCGTTTTCATTTCTTCGATAACTCTAATGGATTTCCCAGAATCGTCCTTTGAAATATTCAAAAATATACAAAATGACCTCAATTTTCAACCAATTTTCAACAAAATTTTCGAAATTTCACTTAATACATTTTCTTGCACATTTCGGGCCGCAGAAGCCATATCCGTTTTCATTTCTTCGATAACTCCAATGGTTTTCCCAGAATCGTCCTTTGAAATGTTGAAAAATATGCAAAATGACCTCAATTTTCAACCAATTTTCAACAAAATTTTCGAAATTTCACTTAATACATTTTCTTGCACATTTCGGGCCGCAGAAGCCATATCCGTTTTCATTTCTTCGATAACTCCAATGGTTTTCCCAGAATCGTCCTTTGAAATGTTCAAAAATATGCAAAATGACCTCAATTTTCAACCAATTTTCAACAAAATTTTCGAAATTTCACTTAATACATTTTCTTGCACATTTCGGGCCGCAGAAGCCATATCCGTTTTCATTTCTTCGATAACTCCAATGGTTTTCCCAGAATCGTCCTTTGAAATGTTCAAAAATATGCAAAATGACCTCAATTTTCAACTAATTTTCAACAAAATTTTCGAAATTTCACTTAATACATTTTCTTGCACATTTCGGGCCGCAGAAGCCATATCCGTTTTCATTTCTTCGATAACTCCAATGGTTTTCCCAGAATCGTCCTTTGAAATGTTCAAAAATATGCAAAATGACCTCAATTTTCAACCAATTTTCAACAAAATTTTCGAAATTTCACTTAATACATTTTCTTGCACATTTCGGGCCGCAGAAGCCATATCCGTTTTCATTTCTTCGATAACTCCAATGGTTTTCCCAGAATCGTCCTTTGAAATATTCAAAAATATGCAAAATGACCTCAATTTTCAACCAATTTTCAACAAAATTCTCGAAATTTCACTTAATACATTTTCTTGCACATTTCGGGCCGCAGAAGCCATATCCGTTTTCATTTCTTCGATAACTCCAATGGTTTTCCCAGAATCGTCCTTTGAAATGTTCAAAAATATGCAAAATGACCTCAATTTTCAACCAATTTTCAACAAAATTTTC